GCGCCCGGGAGCGCGCCATGGGAGGTCGCCGCTGTCAGCCAGTGTTCAAGAGGCAGAGTGTCGCTAAGGAGGGGGAAGTCAGGTCAAGGCCTGGAAACCACAACTGCTGGCCTCTGACCCCAGGCGTTCATCTCAGACCCCGAGGTGTGCTCACCGCCGGAGCTTCCAGAGCCTCTCGGATTCAGCGGGCGGGGCCCAGTGGCAGGCATCGGGCCGTGGCCACTGCGCACACTCTCACTCAAAGGACTACACGGTGAACGAGTGTCCCTGATCTCGCTGACCGCCCTGAGCGTTAGGAAGGTCCTGAATCCCGACCCCCCTTCATAACTAAGGAAAGGGGGGGTCAGAGAGGCGAAGCGACAGTTCAGGGTCGCACAACGGGGAAAGGTCACGCCAGGCATTCACCCCGTCTCAGGAATCGCAGAGTCATGTTCCCAGTCTGGCTAAGCCGCAGTCAGGGCCCGGCGTCTCTGGACTCTGGTGCCAGGAGTCCTGTGGGAGTCACCCAGGATGGCTTTCTCCTCCTCAGATGTCTTTTCCTCACCCGGCCCCCAGTCTCTCCCTCCTGAGGCCCTGCAGCGGGGCCGGGATGAGTCCCAGTCTGCGCACCAGGCTGCCCAGGACCCCTGCCCGGGAAGCGATGCCGGAAGCAGGAGGCAGGCTCAGAAGCACTGCCGTTTCTCACCAGCGACCCCACACCCCTCGGAGGCAGTTCTGTGTGACATTATCTGCCTGCAGAACAGCCAGCCCGAGAGATTTGATGGTGTGTTTCTGTCTTGGATCTTTTAGGGGAAAGAAGGTCCCCCCGGCCCCGAAGGCCCATCGGGGTTACCCGGAATCCCAGTAAGTGACATTTAAAAAATCCAGTCTCTCTCCTACACAAGCAAACAAAACTGTATTTCACCTTCGTTAAAGCAAGACACGGTCCCCAGGGGAGTTGTGTGTGTTATAGAACACTAGTGGCCTGGTGCACGGATTTGTGCACATCCAAAGGAAATTAATTAGAAGAGATGTTTTAATACTGCTATTCGCCCTTTGTTTATAATAGAAGTGTCAGAGATGAAAGAAAATTAGTAAAGTGTATATGAAAACAATATGTAAATTGATTAATAAACAATAACAACATGATATAACAACAACGAAGTCATGATATAAAAATAACAAAAACATGATATAAAAACATTGATAAAAACAATGACTGATAAGTTGATTAAACTCATTCTAATCTCTCCCTTTATACCGTATTAAGAGTAAAAACACTTTCAGAGTGCTTGCCTAAAGTCAACAAAAACAGCCACATTCACGATCGACAATGACAGATTGAAACACACGCGTGCGATTGGCGCCAGCAAGAGCTTTATATGTATCGTGCATGTGTGAGTCAACGTTTAATTTTAAATTGCCAGTGCGTGTCGGACATTCAGCCAGTCACTTAGCCTTTTATATAGTCACTCAATTAAATTAAATTTTCGGTGGGGTCTATCTTAGTATCATTCTTTTATGTACATATTTGTTGTTTGCTTATTTAAATAGTATTTTTGTTTCTCCACACATATATGTGTATGCATACATATGTGTATGTGTATGTGAATGGTATCTATATATACCCATACAGTTAAGACAATAGAATCATACACATGTATGCATACAGAATTGAGATAATTAATTCTTGTGATAATATAAACATTTTCTATTTTCCACGCTGGTATTGCATGTTCCTAAATTTTACCTACACTCCATCTAATAAATGTCCCCTACGATATACGTTCATGTCTCTGCTGCCTCATGAGTCTTACAGTTAGTTTTTAAATCTGCAGTAGACTAGCTCGCACGCATAGCCCCTTTCTGATTCTGTATGATGCTCCCTAAAGTGGGGTACTTGTCAGAGGTTAGTCTTGTCTGAGGTTCTAGAATCGAGCTGCATGATTCTTTCCACAAATGCTGGGCTTTTTAACTCAGCAGTCTTCCCCCCAGGATGGAGCTCTCCGCTCTGTTAGCAACACGACCGGTCGGGAGAGGCCAGGGCTGCCTTCTCTGCTGGGAACAAATCCTTGCATGTGGCTGCAGTCTGGCCGGTGCCTGCTTCTGGGCCTCCACGGGCCACAGCGCCCCGCCCCCCACTTGCCCTCTTTCCTTCCAGCCATACTGGCTTCCTTCTGGGCCTAGGACACTCCACATCCTCACCTCTCCCGGCCACAGGGCCTTTGCACGTGCATTCCTGTCTGCCCAGAAAGCCCTCTCCTCACTCCTAGTGAACAGCAGATGCCTTTGACCTTTGCAGCCCCTCGTGAGCTCCAGGAGCCATGCTGAGTGCTGTCCATCATTCAGTGTCCTCCTCGTCTTCGTCAGCACTGGTGTCTCCCCTCCTCACCTCCGTGCTCAGTCAGAGCCCGGACACAAGGCCCATCATCCCATGTTTGACCTTAGGAATGTGTCCTGGAAGGCCTCTAGATCGACAGCAATAACAAAGAAACGTTTGCAATCTCTTGATTTTTTATTATTTGCCAGACACTGCGGACCAGACATCCAAGCCTGAATCTCAGTGCTGGGGAAAAACCAGGAAATCAGCCCAATTCTGGCAGTTGAAACGCCTTTTTAGCTGCTGCGTGTGAATGGAGCTGCGTGTGTCCCTGCCCCGTGCATCTTGGGGCAGATGACCCATGTGAGTTTCTCTTGCAGGGAGCAGAAGGCAAAGAGGGCAGGGACGGAAAACCCGGCGCCCCCGGAGAGCCGGTAAGGGGCTGACTTTTCACCATCCCACAGGCCCAGGCAGCGCTTTCTCGGTAACAGCCGCTACGTGCCCAGGAGCTGCTCCGGCCTGGGCACAGTGAAGCTACTTTCTATGCATTACTTCTGCCACTTCTATACTCTAGGGACATGGATGGGGAGGTAGACAGTAGATAGATGGGTAGATGAAGGGTGGATACACAGGTAGATGGATAGATAATGGATGGATACACAGGTAGATGGATAGATGATAGGTGGATACACAGGTAGATGGATAGATGATGGATGGATACACAGGTAGATGGATAGATGATGGATGGATACACAGGTAGATGGATAGATGATGGATGGATACACAGGTAGATGGATAGATGATGGATGGATACACAGGTAGATGGATAGATGATGGATGGATACACAGGTAGATGGATAGATGATGGATGGATACACAGGTAGATGGATAGATGATGGATGGATACACAGGTAGATGGATAGATGATGGATGGATACACAGGTAGATGGATAGATGATGGATGGATACACAGGTAGATGGATAGATGATGGATGGATACACAGGTAGATGGATAGATAATGGATGGATACACAGGTAGATGGATAGATGATGGATGGATACACAGGTAGATGGATAGATGATGGATGGATACACAGGTAGATGGATAGATGATGGATGGATACACAGGTAGATGGATAGATGATGGATGGATACACAGGTAGATGGATAGATAATGGATGGATACACAGGTAGATGGATAGATAATGGATGGATACACAGGTAGATGGATAGATAATGGATGGATACACAGGTAGATGGATAGATAATGGATGGATACACAGGTAGATGGATAGATAATGGATGGATACACAGGTAGATGGATAGATAATGGATGGATACACAGGTAGATGGATAGATAAAGGATGGATACACAGGTAGATGGATAGATGATGGATGGATGGATGGATACATAGGTAAATGGGTAGATGATGGATGGATACACAGATAGATGGGTAGATGATGGATGGATACACAGATAGATGGATAGATAGGCAGCCTTTTGAGTTGCCTGCTGCATAATTTTTATTAGGAGTCATTTGAGCCATAATTACAATAATACAGAATGCCATATAGAGACTCTGGAGCCAAAATGCCTGGGGCAAAACCCCAGCTGTGTGACCTTGAGCAGATCGCTCACCCTCTCTGTGCCTCAGTGTTTGGCCTGAAGGGGAACAGCAGTGCCTCCCTCATTGGGTTCCAGTGAGGAGGCATTGATAGACTCCCATGAAGTGCTCCCTTCTACCCGCATGTTGAAAACCCTCAACAGTTGCTGGTTGTGAGCATTTTTCTGCTGGTAACAGGCCAGTGATGGGATGGCCAGCCCACCTGACTAGGGCCCAGGAGCCAGGCCCCTGTTCCCATGATCACAGAGACCTATGAGGGGGTGGCCCTGGAGGTGGCCGGTGGGGAGGTACAAAGCCCTTTATGACGGGGCCTGCATCGTTTCTCAAACAGCCGGGCACCTCTGAGAAGGTGAGGGCCGAGGAGCCATCACTGTAGAGATGAACCCGAGGAGCCAGCACGTCCCAGGGGCCCCGGGACGCAGCGGGCTGGGTGCGGGGTGGCGGTGTGAATGGGTGACAATGGACCGCAGGGCTGGGGCGGGCTGGCAGAGAGGCAGGGACAGGGGTATGGAATGTAGTGCTCGGAAGCCCAGGCAGCAAGTATGGGGGGATCCCTTATGCTCCCCTCAACCCCTTCTCTTCCTCTCTCCTCAGGGCAAAGCAGGAGAGCCGGGCCTGCCAGGACCAGAGGGTGCCCGCGGGCCCCCCGTAAGTGTCGTGCATGTGTGAGCATGTGTGTGTGTGCACACGTGTGTGTACGTGTACTTGTGTGTGCATGTGTGTGATTGTGTGTGGGTGTGAGTTTGTGAGTGTTTTGAGTGTGTGCGCGTATGTGTGTGAGTGTGTGTGTATGTGTGTGAGTGTGTGACTGTATGACTGTGTGACTGTGTGTGTGTGACTATGACTGTGTATGTGTATGTGTGTGAGTGTGACTGTGTGAGTGTGTGAGTGTGTGTATGAGTGTGTGTGTGTATGTGCATGAGTGTGTGAATGTATAACTATATGACTGTGTGTATGTGTGTGAGTGTGTGACTGTATGACTGTGTGAGTGTGTGTGTGTGTGACTATGACTGTGCGTGTGTGTGTGTGTGACTGTGCGTGTGTGTGGCTGTATGACTGTGTGAATGTGTGTGAGTGTGTGGCTATATGACTGTGTGTGACTGTGTGTGTGAGTGTGAGCGTGTACGCTGTCCCTGGTAGGATAAGCATCAGCCACACAGCTCTGACGCGGTGGGTAAGGTCTCTGAGACGGCCAGGCCGAGGGGTGCAGGGTCCCTCCCCTTCAGGTCCCAGACTCTCCTGCAGACTCAGTGCTCCCTGCGCGGCTGTGCAGTGAGTTTTCCAAATGCAGCCACGTGACCACGTCGTGGTTCTGAGGCTCCTTTGTTCTTGTCCTGTTTGTTATCGTTTTCGTGGCCTTTCTCTGGATGGTAGAACCTGAACGGAGTCTTCATTTTAGCTTTGAACACTTTCCACAGCTAGAGGTGTTTTCACAAGTTTAAAAGTAACCCATTCTCATTGCAAAGCAGTAACAATGATGATGGTAATAATTAAAAAAATAAAGTAATGTCATAGAGAAGAAAATAGTTACTTGTAATTCTACAACACAGACAGGTAAAGCTCTGTGAATGGTCCAGTATATTTTTTATGGTCTTTTTTATGTGCATGAATTCTGACCTTTATGGGCCCAAATCTCTACCTGGGTGTCAGGCTATCATAGATAACATGTTTTTTATAAAAATGAACTCATTCTATATGTTTTGGGGTTGTTGAGGATTTTTTTTGTGGGTTTGTTTGTTTTTGCTAAATACTTTACTCCTTCATAATTTTAAAATTGTTTACACAAATCCTTAAATTTGTTTTTGGAAAAAAGTACTATTTCTATTTTTCATGAAAATTCTATAATGCAATTATCTGGTAAGAAGGAGGAGATCAAAATGTCAGTTCTCTTTCCTTAATGTGTTTTTCTGTAAAAAAATCAATAACTCCCTGGCCCACATTCAATACGAAGGAAATAAAACACGAAATCCATGTCCTTTTTGCTGAATCCCGCCGCTTCCCACCCGACCACACCAGGAAGAGAACCTCAGGGTGGAGAAGGCACCTGCGTGGGGCCCAAGACCCAGGTGGCGCCTGCTGACCGGGCGGGAGGGCTTCCTGGCGGTCACCATGGAGACCCATGTGCTGGGGCCTGTGTTGGGGCAGGACCAGCCCAGTGGTGTGAGGCCAGGAGGAGGAGGGGAAGGAAGCATGAAGCCAGGCAACACCTGAGCTGCCACCCCACCACCTGGGGCGTGTGTGGGGCCAGCCCTGCCGTGCTGGGACTGAGCCGGAAGGAAGGGCCTCACCCAGTCCGCGGGCATCGGGGATATGGCCAGCGTCCAGCACAGAGCAGGGCCCGCACCTCTTAGCGGTGGAGAGTGAGGGGAGTCAGGACCCGCCCGGCCATCTTGCCAGGTGCCTGCCCCTCCCTCTCACCAGCCTGCCCTCTGGTGGGATAACTCCGGTCTCTCTCACCCAGGGCTTCAAGGGACACACGGGCGATGCTGGCGCCCCCGGCCCCCGGGTAAGTGATGTCTTGCCGCGAAGGTCGTCCCAGGTGGGCCTGGCTGGCGCTTCCAGACACTGGGCTCTGTGCGACACCTTGTCACCCAAGAAGCCTAAAGCGTCATCCCTCGCCTGGTCTAGTTTTTCTAGAAATTTCTCGGCGGTGGGGGGCAGACGCTGACTTACCAACAACTGGACCAAGTCAGCTGGAACCCGGGGTGGCACTGGGCTGGGCTGCACACACTGTGCATCGGAGGCCCAGGGCCCGGAGCTCACGTGTGGGGAGCATCGGTTTATCCTCAGGATCAATGTTTGAGCAGAAGCCCCTGCCGTGCCCTGTGAATGGGGAGAAGCTGGGGTGTGGGGGGGTCAGCAGGTGAGGAGGCAGGATCCCAGGCTGTGTGCCCGGCCCTTCGCTGCTGTTTCCTGCAGCTCAGAGGGGTTTCCTGCTGTGGGCCCCCCTCCTCCCCTCGCTGACCCTGCAGAGGCCGCCGCCGAAGGTTCTGCATCTCCCTCCCTCCCAGCAGCTGCTTCCTTTCTGCTTTTCCTTCCAGGGAGAGCCCGGGGCCATGGGGCCCCCCGGCCGGGAGGGGTCACCAGGAAAAGATGTAAGTGGGCGTCCTGGGGGCCTGGCTGGGTCTGGGGGAGCAGGCGTGTAGGGGAGGTGCAAAGGGCTTCACTGAAGGACCAGGGACCCCCAGAAACTATCAGAGAGGAGCCCACGGGGGCACCTGTGGGAGTGACTGGCAGTAATGGTGAACGTTTGCACAGTTTGCTGGTCTTGGGTGGCGAGGTGAGCCTTGGTCCACATCTGTGTCCCATCACACTCCTGCGTGACTCGGTGATAACGTCCCTCTCTCCGTTCCAGGGGGATGCCGGACCCGAAGGGCTGCCGGGTCCCCAAGGACCGAGGGGCCCACTGGTGAGTTTCACCTTGAGACCCACGTGCGCCATGTGTCTGCGGGGCCTGTTACCATGGTGATACCTGGTATTTTACCCCGTAGCCCCACGTGCTGTTAAAAGCCTCAACATGTCCTGGCCGTTAGAGCGTGATGACGGCCCTGAGTTCCCCAGCATCCCGCCCACACCCCACCTCTTTTCTGGAACCACCTACCCACAGTCAGAAATTTAAAAGGTGCCACCTGGTCAGGCAGGGCCCGGGCCCTCGGACACGCATTCCCAGTGGGGGTGCTGTCACCCCAAGGGACACACACGGTACTTGTGGTGCCAGAAACCCTTCATATATTAACCAGTGTGCACACAGAGCAGACACACACGTGTGTAGCTGTGATGTTACCGTGTCCCAGGGGTAGTGAGGGAACAGAACACGGGTCAGGCAGGGAGGAGGGGCTGTGTAACAGGTGGAGGCCGGGTTCCGGAGCCCCCAGGCCCCCGGGGGCATCCCAGCCCCAGGATCCAGGCTTTTCTCTCGGCCTCGGCCTCGGCCGGGAGCATCTGCTGCCCTGACTCAGAGGCGGCTCCTCCAGCCCCAGCGGGTTCTCACCACCTTGAGCCAGACGCTGCCTGTGTCTGATATCGGCGGAGCCCGGTGCCAGGGCTGCCCGGGCAGCTATGTAACTCACGGAGTCCTCCCCAAACCCTGGGAGGCAGGTGCCATTCCTGTCCCCATTCACAGATGAGAACAGGGGGCACAGAGAGGTCAGGTAACTTGCCTGAGACCACACAGCAACTCAGGGGCAGAGCCAGGGTCTGGACTCAAGGCTGCAGCTTAATTCAGCACCTTCCTGGGCTCCAGTTTGCGAGATTTCCTCCTCAGAACCACCACCTGGCAGGAGGGTCCTGGGTGGGAGGTTGGAGCTCAGAGCCATGGGGAGGGGCTGGGCACTGAGGGGATCCCGAGGACGAGCGGGGCCTGAGCAGGGGCCTGCAGCCCCGTCGGCCCCGAGTGAGCAGGTGGCAGGTGCCGCCGAGAGCCACCCTCCTGTGCACACCCGCCGTGTGGGTGCCCTGAGCGAATGTGTCTTGGCGCCTACCCTCCCGCAAACGCGAGGGCCAGAGGGAGGAGGGGCAGAGAGATGTGAAGCCCATACAGTATTTTTAGAGCCACACAGATGGGTGGTGGGTGGGCGGAGGGAGGAGCGCCCGGCAGCCCTCCCTGGAGGGGGTGAGCGGGAGGTGGTCCCACACACAGGCTGGCTGTGACCCACGCAGGCCCCATGCCTCAGTTTACCCACCTGTGCCACAGAGATAACGGCAGCTATGTGACAACTTTTAAAAAATATGTATTTTTATTGATTTCAGAGAGGAAGGGAGAGAGAGAGAGAAACATCAATGATGAGAGAGAATCATTGGTCGGCTGCCTCCTGCACGCCCCACATTGGGGATCGAGCCCATAGCCGGGTGTGTACCCTGATAGGTTCATGGGTCGATGCTCAACCACTGGGCCATGCTGGCCAGACACATGCACTTTTAGGCCCAGGAGGCCCTACTTGCGATCCTACTGACAGCCACGAGGTCGGGTACACACGGTGGGCTCGGGGTCGCCTGGGTCCAAGCTCACTTCCCTTTCGAGCAGGTGACCTGGCATTTCTGTGCTGGTTGGAGTGTGTGCCTGTGGTGAGCAGTGGGTGGGGCACTGGAGCCTGGCACGTAGGGAGTGACCCTGCATGAGCCACGCCTCCGAGTCTCAGTATCCGCATCTGTTAAATGGGAATAAGGGCGCCCTTAGTGGGCGGGGCGGTGGGGGGCGGTGCAGAGAGGTCAGCTGGCAGACGTGCCTCCTGAGCCGCTGGGAACAGTGTGGCTGGGATGTGAACAGTTTTGTGCGGGACCGTTTGTCCTTGAGACGCTGTGAGTGAAGGACGTGTGGATGCACGGGTGGACAAGGTCATGGTGAGTGACCGCGGGGCCGGGGGCACTGGCCGCTGGGTAGGCTTTTTCACGGGCCTGGACGCATTTAATTCTACAATATTATGAACTTGACATTCCGAGCTCCCGTTAGAAGCTCCTGTGAGTCAGGAGCAATTGACAGCAGCCGCGCTGGTGGAGCAGCTCCTGGTGGGAAGGCAGGTCCCGCCCCCGGACTCCCTGCTCCATCACTGGCTCTGTGCCCTGCAGCGGTCTCCCCCTGCTTCTCCCTGCAGGGCAAGAGTGGATCGCCCGGGACTCCAGGGGACCCCGGCCCCGCAGGAAACCCAGTGAGTATCGCCCTGGGCTGCGTGACGGGGGCGGGCAGGCCCGGAAGGGGCGTGTGGCTCACGTCACACATTGTCTGCTCTCCATCCCTCGCAGCATCAGTGGGAAAGCATGGGGTTCGCGGGGCAGAAGCAGGTGGCGGAGGCAAGAGGGTACGGGCAGGCCTCCTTTACAGTCTCAAATACATGGGGGGGGGGAGGGGGGGTGGGAAAGCATGGGGTTCGCGGGGCAGAAGCAGGCGGCGGAGGCAAGAGGGTGCGGGCAGGCCTCCTTTACAGTCTCGAATACATGGCGGGGGGAGGGGAGAGGGAAGGGGGCATAGAGAGGATAAATGGTGATGGAAGAAATAAAGAAATTAAATAGATGCGATTATGCAGTTGGCTCCCTGTGGACAACCGCAGGCATCCAAGGAGCAAACCTATTAAAGACTTTTCTATAAATGGGTCATAAAACGGCCCAGCGCTGCTGGCTGTGCTCAGAGGATGAAGAGCAGGGGTCAGGCCGACGAGCCTCAGGGCTCAGGCAGCAGGGCCAGTGCGCAGCGGATGGGCGTCCTCCTGCTGGTTAGGAGGGGGGATGGGAGGTGAGAAGGATGGGGGATACCGAGTAGGAAGAGGGTGGGACGAGTCATCGGCAAAGTCCTGGTCCCTGGAGAGAGGATCCGGGGTCGGGGTCAGGTCTGCTGTGGGCGGACATGGTGGGGAAGATGGGTCTTTGATGGATTCTAGGCTCAGAGTTGTCGGCCTGTCCGTGTGTCTCCTCCCAGCCCCATCTCTAGTATATTTTGTTGTTGTTAATCCTCACCCGAGGATACATTCTCCATTGATTTTTTAAGAGAGATTGGAAGGGAGGGGGAAAGACAGAGAGAGAAACATGGATGTGAGAGAGACACATCGATTGGTTGCTGTCCGCACGCACCCTGACGGGCCAGCGATCTAGTCTGCGACGGAGGTATGTGCCTCAGCTGGCACTTGACCTTGAAGAACTAACCCGGTTCTCCCTCCGCAGGGCCAGAAGGGAAGCAAAGGAGAAAACGGCAGTCCCGGGCTCCCTGGCTTCCTGGGTCCCCGTGGGCCTCCGGTAAGCAGAGCACCCCGAGGGGGCCGAATGCCTGCCTCTAGGGGTACAGCCCACGTGTCCTTCACCCTCCCGCCGTGTCCTCAGGTCCGCCTGAGGGTTACAGTGACCTGGTGTGCGGTCCAGGGTGCCTCATGCACTGGGTCACATCTGTGGGGGGGCCTCACCTCCCTGCACCCTAATCGTGAGGCCCGACTTGGCCTCCTCCTTATTCAGAGGGGGCATGACCACCTACCTCTGGGAGAGGAAGATGGTTTATGTAAGAGGGTTGGCGGGGTGCCCAGCCCCTGGGGAGCTCAGTGCATACAAACTGTTTTATATAGTGGGCGTGGCCTCAGAACCTCAAGGTCCTTAGGCATCATTTCGCAGATGAGACGTTTGGGCTGTAGGGTCAGAGCTTGCAGGCAGGTGGGGGGGTGGTCAAGGCCACCTGGTCAGCTGGCGCTCCAGCCGGCCCTGCGTCCAGGTCTCCTGACCTGACCTCCTGACGCAGAGGAGCCGGGGGCAATGGGTGCCAGGTCTCTGGGCTGAGGGACGCGTGGGAAGGAACCAGGTCCAGCAAGTCGCCCCCTGCCGCCTTCTGCGAGCCACAGCCAAGCCCTGGCTCCTGACCCGTGAATGAGGCTCATGTGGAACGTGCCGCGTGGAGAGCTCACCCTGCTCCTCTCCACCCCCGTCCAGTTCATTTCTGGCCCCGAGGTGCCCCACAGCCAGCCCTGCCAGCCACTCGAGCTGTGACCCTCTTTGCTGCCTCGTAGCCCCAGCCTACAATGGCCCTGTGCACTGGTGTTCACTAGAGCCTATTCGTTCACTGGACACGCCTCCTTCTCCATGCCTGTCGCTAATCTGGCTGCCATGAAGCAGCCGGGCGCCCCCTCTTCTAGAATCCTTGCTGCAGACCCCTTAGCCGGGGTGACAGCCGATCACGGGTTCGCCCTCCTTGCTACACGCCCACTCTAGTTCCAGGGGCATTCCAGGTGCCCACACATTCAGCCTCATGGCCACCTATGAAGCAGGGACGGCAACTGGTCCCATTGCACAGATGGAGAAACTGAGGCACAAAAGGCTTTAGGAAGTTGTAAGGAGGTTGTCCAAGGCCACGGAGCCAGTAAACGGAGGAGTCAGGGCTTGAACTGGGGAGGCTGACGCCAGAGCCCAGTGTCTTGGTGCCTCATTTCACCCCCGAGCCTGCTTCTCAGGGAGCTCTGCTATCACAGATGAGGCCCCGGGGCCCTCTGGGTGGCAGCACAGCCGTTCCCCTTGCCCAGGAGGCCAGACCCAAGGCTCCCTCCCACCTGGAGGACTCCCTGTCTCCTGCGCAGGCTGGTCCGGCGAGGTCTTGGCTGGAACGTGATTGGGTGGATTGTGTTTTGAGGACAGTCCGTGACCTGTGATGTGCAGCCGCTGAGCTAACCATGTCGTGTTCTGTCTCACAGGGGGAGCCCGGCGAGAAGGGAGCCCCAGGCAAGGAGGCAAGTGTCGCCCCTCCCGCCCTCCCTGGGTGACCCTTTCCTATGCAGATGCGGGCCAGCTCCACGGGGGTGACACAGGGAGTCCCCCGGGCCCTGGGCCTGGCCGAGCTCCACACTTGCTCACTGCTTTCTGAATGGGGGTCCAGAGTTTAAATTGGCAAGGGCCCCACCAAGTCCGTAGCTGGGCCCGGGTACCATCTTTTTTAAAAAAATATATTTTTATTGATGTCAGAGAGGAAGGGAGAGGGAGAGAGAGAAACATCAATGATGAGAGAGAATCATTGATGGGCTGCCCCCTGCGCGCCCCACACTGGGATGGAGCCCGCAATCCGAACACGTGCCCTGACCGGGAATGGAACCTTGACCTCCTGGTTCCTAGGTCGATGCTCAACCACTGAGCCACACGGCCGGGCACGGACCCTGCCTTTGGAATGAGGAAGACTGCTCCCCTCTGCACCTTCGGGTCACTTTCTGAACCGGAGGAGCCGGGTCGGAGGGCTCCGTACCCAGGAAGCGGGTGCCCCTCCCCAGCCATGCTCTAGCTCAGCGGGCGTATCGCTCACTCACCCGTGATCCCTGTTGCCTCCTGCTCACTGGTGATGGGAGAGAAAACCCCGCCAGCTCCCCTGCCCGTGGCTGCCGGGTCACTTTCTCAACCGGAGGAGCCGGGTCGGAGGGCTCCATGCCCGGGAAGCGGGTGCCCCCCCCCCCCCCCCCCCCCCCCCCCCCCCCACAGCGGGCATATCGCTCACTCACCCATCGATCCCTGTTGCCTCCCGCTCACTGGTGACGGGAGAGAAAACCCCGCCAGCTCCCCTGCCCGTGGCTGCCGCCACAGCAGCCCTCCCTGGCTCCCTGCGCCTCTCGGCCAAAGTCTAGGCTCTGAGCAGGCACCCAGGTCTCCCCAACCTGACCACCCCCCTTTCCAGTGGGAGCCCTGTCCCCTGCTGCCTGGCCACACTGTGCCCCCCATTCCCACCTCCAGAGAGAGGCATGAGGTCCTGTAAAATTGTTTTGGTTGCTATGACATTGACAGAGACTTGGTGACTGAGACAACAGACGTGTATTTCTCAAAGCTCTGGGGACCAGGGAGGTCCGAGGTCAAGGTTCTGGCTGAATGGTTTCCTCCCTCCCTCATTGTGCTAGCCAGCCACTGAGTCCCCAGGCCCACTCCCCCTCACCCCATTATGGGGGCCCTCCCTCATGACCTCATCCAAACCTAATCACCCCAAAGACATCCCCCCACACCTCCTAATACCACCCATATGAATTGGGACACGAACATGCGTCCATAGCGGACGGGGAGTGTGCCAGTGGTGGAGGGGAGGTGGCTGGCCGCGGCCACTGGACAGCAGGGCCGCACGCTCCTGCATTGGAGTCATAGATGTCACCACTGCGTGGGAAGGGCGTGGAGGGGGACAAGATCCTGATGAGGACAGTCCCCGGAAAGGGGAGGGGGGCGGGGAAGGGGGCCGAGCGTGAGCAGGTGCCACGGTCCATGTTGGGCCTTGGCGGGAGGAGGCCAGAGGAGGAGGGGACCAGGCCTGCAGGGTCCGCACAGAGAGGGGGCTCTCGGAGCAAGGAGTCGAGACCCTTGTCCTCAGCACAGGGGTGGGGTAGAAGCACCAAGGGCGGAGGTGCCCACGCAGAGGGGCCGCCCGGTGAGTGACCGTCTGCCTTGGGTTCATTGCAGGGCGCCCCCGGGAAGCCCGGAGCAGCAGGACCCGGAGGAGAGAGGGTGAGTGGGAGCGTGCCACCTGTAGGTGACGCTTCAGGGGCCGGGACTCTGTCCCCACGCTGCCTGCACAGCCGCCTGGAGAGCTGACTCCTCTGCCCGCAGTTCTCGGAGGCGGGTCCTGTCCACCACCTTGTTGTAGTCAGTGCTCTTGGTCCCCACGCCCCCCCTTTTTAATATTTTTTTATTGATTTCAGAGAGGAAGGGAAGTCAGTGCTCTTGGTCCCCACGCCCCCCTTTTTAATAATTTTTTATTGATTTCAGAGAGGAAGGGGGAGAGAGAGAGAGAGAAACATCAAGGATGAGAGAGAAGCATGGATCGGCTGCTCCCTGCACACTCCACACTGGGGATCGAGCCCGCAACCCGGGCATTTGCCCTGACCAGGAATCGTACTGTGACCTCCTGGCTCATAGGTCGATGCCCAACCACTGAGCCACGCTGGCCCCCCTTTTTTGGTTGTTATTTGAAGCAGTGACGTCATTGCAATTACAAATGCCAAGGACGTGAGAGCCCGGGACAGCTCCCCTCCCTGGGCACGCCTGTGTGCACCGCGCTGGGCGCCCAGAGCCAGGCTTGTCACCCGGGGTGACAAGGGAACAGGTGTTTCCATAATGCATTGCTTGGCGTTATGCTCAGAAAGCCTTCCCTTACATTTCGTTTCTCCAAAAAGAACCACAGAGGGAAAGCATTTATTTTTTTAGCAACACCAGTGGGGGAGGGGCATCCTCACACGGAGACAGCGTCCCTGCCTTCGGCGGATTAAACACCGTGTGTCCATGAGCCTCCACTTGGTCGCCTGTCACAGTCGCCCCACACGGTGTCGCCGCCCCCACCCCAGGCGTGTCTTCCCTCGTCCTGCAAAGCGTTCACCTTGGTTTTCTTCCGAGTCGGGTGGGCAAGGAGAAGCCCTGCTGCCTCTGGTGTCCCCTCCCTCTGTCCTGTGGCTCTCGGTTCTGAGGCTGAGCCAGGAAAGGGGCCATGGATGAGACGGTACTGAGGGGTCCCCTCCCCCCGCTGCAGCCAGTGTCATGCAGGTGCCCCGGGAGCTCTTGCTCCTGGAATGGCTAGAGGTTTGGTTGGGAGCCAGGACACTCAGCCCCCAATTATGAATCTTCTCTAGGCCCAATCAATACGCCGAGCGTGGCCGCCACGTTAAGTGGTTCGGTGGAGCTCTGCCAGGGAGCGGCAGGCACTCGCCCTGCGCTCCGGGAGCCGGGAGCGGGACCAGGCCTCTGCCGCAGAGGGTGCTGGGCCGGGTGGGTAGGAAACGCTGGGCCCCGAGTGGAGAGGCCTCAGCACCAGGTGCCCCGGGCCCTGGGCTACGATCCTGATGAGGACAGCCCCCATGGCGTGATCGCACCCGAGACATAGGAGTGACCGCTTCGGATCTGGCGAAGTTCATGTCTAATTCACGGCTCTTTCATCGTTGGTGAAGTCAGACAGACACATAGACAATGCAAGTTGCAAAAAGCGACGCAGTGAAAGCAGGGCCCCTCCCCCAGGGCCTTGGTCCCCGTCCCCTCCCAGGGACCGTCCCCGCTTGTCTGTGCAGAGGACCGCGGGTGGGTGTGCGATACACCTGCGTGTTCCCCTGCTTAACACCTGGAATAGCCCCGACTCGCCACTGTGCTGTTTCTTTGGTTCCTCCTGGGAACGTATCCGCTGGTGACGTCGCATAACTACCCATCTGCCTTTGCTACGGCTCCGGGCACGTCCATGCCAGGCCCCCGTTCCAGTGGTCACCTGCTTCTGGTCTTTCCCCCCATTTCTCTCTCCCTCTTCCCCTGCCCCGCAGTGGGGCCCGCTGACCTCGAGGCCGGTCACGTGACCACCATGTTTTCAGACCCTTGATCACTGAGTCCTGCTGGTCAGCCGCACAGTAGCACACAGCGTGGAGGACTGGACCGCCCCCTGGTTGCCATGGTTTCCAATTACTGATCCAGGACCTCGGACTCTGGGTCCACAGTGGGGAGAACAGGGTCCAGGCAGCATGATGCTCGGTGGTCCCACGAGAACTGGGAGGAGGGAAGGGAGGTTGCCTACGTGTGAGGTACCTCTGTCCGTGGTGCCACTGTCCCTGCAGCTGATGGAGGACACCGGGACCGGAAGTGGGCCGGCAGCTGGGCGGTCGGTCTTAGAGGTGGCAGACGGAGGGAGCCCTGGGCTGGGTTTGGAATCAGAGTTCTCGTCCTGCAGGCCACCTGCGTGACCGTGGCGGGTGGCCGTGTCCCCCTGGGCTCCATGTCCTCACCTGGGCCAGGACGGAGGGAGGCCTCCTCTCTGGGAGGCAGAGGATTGGGGTCCCCTGCCCCAAGGCACCTCCAGTCCTTTGCTTGCTGACCCTTCTTTCCCCCTCTAGGGAGATCCCGGCATCAAGGGTGACAAAGGAGCTCCTGGTGGGAAGGGCCAGCCTGGGGACCCGGGCATCCCCGGCCACAAAGGCCACACGGGCCTGATGGGCCCCAAAGGCCA